AAATATAATTGTACAAAGTTTCATTTAAATATTTTGGTTTTTTAAAAAAATAAATCAGAGCTAAAAAAGTGCAAAAACGCAGGCAAATTTGCCTGCGTTCTACTACAATCTAAGGGATAGAGTTGAATCTATAATAATAGGATAATAGGCTCTCCCTTTGACCAAAGCCTTCATAAATTCGAAAATCCAATATGGGAAAGGTGCCGTTTTCATCAGATGACATTAAAAAAATATTTAAGAAAACCAATAACCTGTGTACAAATTCTGTTCAATCTTTCCAATGCCACCGAATTCCCAAAATATGTTATCCAAGCCATTAGTTTCTAGAATAGATTCAAACATTTATTTATTGTATTTTTCGTTTTTGGTTTGTTTTTGATTTGTAGTATGTTAGGACTATTTCTTTAATAAAATTTTGGTTTGTCGGAATTTTGTTCGCTAAAAGATTATAGTTAAAATTATCGAGATTTCATGATCGAATAATTTCTATATCACGGGATGATATACAAAAATTGGCCAATCATAAGCTCTTTTGGATAAATGATTACATCACTTACATATAAACAAACAGTAAAAATTAGTCAACTTAGTGACCAAGATTTTTCTCAACCTTATTTTTAACCATCCTTTAAATCTCAGAAGAAGAATCTTTGAATGCAAGAGAGTTTGCGAAATGATAAACAGAAATTAAACCGACAGCTTCTTTATTATTAAATAAGCCTAGAAAGTAAAATTTGCCTTATAAAATTTAGATGCATCGATCATTTGACCCCATATTAAAAAAATTCTCATGTAGTTGACAACTAACCGATTGGCACCAACTAGGAACACTAATACATACGTAGCTTCAACGACGATTTTTTCGTTACGTGTTGTTCAACCACCACCATAAAAAAATTTTGCTATCGGGCGAATTAAAATCTAAGATCAATGTAACATAAAATAAAACAAAAATACCCCTAACTTTTTTAGGGTGGTGATACGTTAGCCAATCAAACGAATGTAGATCTCGTAATTTCATTGGCTTGATTATGTGCATAAATTTTAATTTTTTTTTTTTTTTTATAAAATGCAATTGTTAATGCTAACGATCTTAAAAAATTACGATGGCAGCAGAAGTATCAACAAAGAAGCTTAGTAGAAAAGAAAGACAGAAAGTAATTATTGATATTAAATATGAGTTTCGATTGAGAATGATGATATGGAACAAATTTTGATCTCTATAACGGATAATTGAATTCAGTTTTTGAGTTCCGTCTGTGATGCTAGTTATAATATTTAGTCATAGTTACACTGATTCAAATATTCGAATTTCAACGAATACTACTAGTAATTTTAGACAATAACAAAAGAATTAAATTTTATAGCTCCGAGAAACAACAACAGGACCAGGATGGTTTGATATGCCAAAACCTGAGTTGACACCTGAAATAAAGCGAGATCTTCAAGTGATAAAAATGAGAAACGTTCTTGATCCGAAACGGTTTTATAAAAAAGACAATTCTAAGGGTCTTCCAAAATATTTCCAGGTATAAATAATTGGATATTGTTTGCTCCATAGTATTAATATTTGACAGAAACTTTTTTCAACGTATATATTTTTATTACTTTAAACCTATAGATTGGAACAGTTATTGAAGGACCAACGGAGTTTTATTCATCACGATTGCCACGCAAAGCGAGAAAGCAAACAATAGTTGATGAGCTAATGGCAGACGAGGATTCAAAGCAATATTATAAACGCAAATTTTTAGAAGTTCAAAAGGTGCATTAATTGCGTGTAACTTTTTTGCAATTGATATATTTAAGTATTATATATTAAATCATTAGAATTTTCACAGTCGAAACAAAGTGGAGGAAGAAAGCATTATAAACAACTCAAAAAGAAAAGGAAGCCAAAATGGGAGAAGGGATTCTAATATTTTAAATTTTTTACATAACTGTCTAAATTTACTTATCAGTTATCAAGGAAGGCACACGAATTTAGAGTTACGCAACAACCATCTTACATCTGTTAAGTATATAAACTTGAAGTTTATTAAATATTACAATTAAAAATTTATTAATATATAGTATATAATTTGCTCTTATAGATTTCTATCATAAATTATGATATATATAATTATATATATAAGAATGTATCAGTCACACAATGTCAAAAAATTATAAGACCAAGCAAAGTCAATTTTGGTACTCATAATTCGGCCCGGTTAAAATTGTTAAACTTAAAATTTTAAGTAGCTTTATTATCCGAGTGTTTTTTAAAAAATCAAACCAAAAATTTTTATATGTAATTATTCGAAAATAAAATTAAAATCCGGGTGTTAAATCATTTTTTTTTAAAAAAATTTATATAATGAGAACCAAAAACTTGACTTTATGTGGCCTAATAAAAATATTTCTTCACTGACAGTCTAAATTTATAATTAATTCCGATATTTATAAACTTAAAGTTTCGGATTTTCGTTTTTCTTAGTAAAACAAATATACCGATCTTAATAGACTAGAAGTGATTTATCTTTATACGAACGTACTGTATTCGTTGTAACAGTCTTCGGAATCTGGTATATGGCACGCACTTTTATAATCGTTCAAACTTTAAATTACTAGATCAATTAACGTGTTATGTGTCATTTATTCCCGTCGATATACGACCAACGAATAACCTGTGTCACTTATTGATGCTATGAAATATATCAATAAAGCAGCATTGATTAATTCAACAAGCTAAATCAAGAATTCATTCAAAAAGTGAACATGCATACGAAATTATTCACGTTTGTTGAGGCAAAAGTATTAGTAAAATTTCAAGTCGATAACAAAACTTTTCAGCAAAACGACTAGTTGTAACATTAAAAATTGTGCCCATTTAAACAATTCGTCATTTTCAAGACAATGTTGATGCAGATAATTTTTTCGTCCCACACAATGATTTGTTTATAAAAATGAATCTAAATAAACAAAAATGCACATTTCGTTCTTTTAGCATTTAATTTTTATTATTTGTTAGTCGTTAGATAAATATTTTTTAATAAATCGGTGAAATTCATACCGATTCTCAAACAACATACATTATCTTATCTATGGTTAAATTACTGGGGTTAATTGTAAAGGTTAGATCTACTTATTGATTTATTGAATCGAATTACTTGTCCAATCAGGGCCATACAGTCATTTTACCAACAAAATTATGCCAAATATAAGTATGTACGTATGTACTTCCCTTTTGGTTCGCAAAAATCTCATTATTTTTTTATTGTTTCATTTGGTTTTCAAAATCGAAATCAAATTAAGGCTATTGCTATGACTTTTTTTGATAGTTAAAATAAGCAGCAAAGTTAAAATTTAAGCATTTATTTCACTTATTTGTTTATGAGGCAAAGGGATGTAAATTACTGTATTAGATGTGATTGATTGTAAATTAAATTTTGTAATTTTGGATAATGCACGCTAATATGATACCAAGCATTCGACCATTTCAACGAAAAAAAAAACCATTAGAGTTCTTTTAGCATTCGTGCACAGTCCGCCTGTGCAATGGAATGTGAACCATCACTATAATCTGCTAACACAGCATTGATCTGGTACTTCTCAGAAGCCTATTATTTTTAGTAACAAACATGTGAAATTTAAATAAAAGTATAACTTTTTAAACAATATATACCGTAAAAGTCGGACATGGGTATTCGTGTACTATACGTATCATACCAGATAGATGTAGTAAAATATATTGTCACTATACGATATGCCCCGTACAGAAATACCTGGGTACAAAATTGAACTATGAAAATACCCGAGGTATCCACGTCCGACTTTTACGGTAATTATATAAAACCAAATAATTAGGTACCAATATTGATATGCAACACCAAAGCATTTTGCCGATAAGGTTTATTCCCAAGTGTCCCTTATTCAATTTAGATTTAACTAAACGATCTGTCAAAGTCTCAATTCCACTGGAGTGCAAAATATCCTTTAATAATATAAAATAATTAATAACGTCAGAAAATCAATGATAGTAATGAGAATAAGTTTGATTTTTTTTTTCTTACTTGCGACACAGTGCCCACTGCCTTGGCCCAAATAACACCCGTGCCATCATCCAAACGCCAATTTATATCAAACGAATCATCATTTGTCTCCCAACCAATAATCAGACATCGACAAATAAATTGATATACATTTTGTTTACTAAATATAGTTGATAATGAGAGAGCATAACTGTGTAGCGACGAAACAGCCAACCACCCTTTAGCCATGCTAACTATATGTAAAAAAAAGGCAAGTTTAGAATAATATTAACTTGAGTCGTGCATTAAACATTAAAACAGGTTACCATTGTACACCATGGCACCACTTGAAGCGTCACCATTAATATCTAATTGGCCATTACTTTTTTTCCATGTATGTAATCCTTCCAAAACAATATATTGGCCAACATGGTATTCGGCTATTTCACGCCCAACCTTTCCCCATAGTGTTATCTGTTGGCTTCCTAAAAATGAATGACTAATAATTAGTTGGATATTAATTAAATAAGTTTATAACTTTGATATTCTCACCAGTCTTGTCACTAAACTTTATTACATATCGATCTATTTTTTTGCCATTGTTCAAAATTAATGGGGGCTTTATAATAAAATGTTCAAATTAGTAAAATTGATATACATATATAACGATAACGAATAAGGATAAAATAATATTCTTACATTATCCAAAATATCATCAACTTTACCATAAAGAGTTATATTTAGACCTCGTGTAGGTAAAGTTTTAATGAAAAAACGATCATAATGGAATTTATAATCGATCATATACTAAAAAGGAAATATCTAATTAAAATATGTAATTTATTATCGGCGTTCGACCAAGAAAGTACTAACCGAATTATCTCTGTAATTAAGTTTATGCTTTGTGAAATGTTTGGATCTCGAATTTCCCTCCTTTTAAGTATGCAAATAAACGTGATTTTTTTTTTTATATGGAATTTCTTTTAAATTTCATTAATCATTATTACATACCTTACAAAGTTCACTCATTGGTAGACAAAACAAAACCGTTAAATCACCATAATGAAGAACTAATCCATCATGGTTTTTGTCTTCAGTACCAATATACGGCCAATGTATTCCCAAAAAATCTCCCTATTAAAATAATTATCAGTATGATGTTTTTTTTTTAAAAAAAAAAATTATACGTATGACCCCCTACCGTTTTGAATAATGTAGTCATGCGTATTTTATCATCCAATAAAACTAAGGTTGCACATTGTGAACTCGACATGTCACGCACGTAAACACATACTTTATTACAAAAACCGGGCAATTCTGCAGGCTCTTTAGTTCCAACATACATCACCTTTTGTTTTAATTATAAATGATTATTTAGTTATCGATGCTGACAAATTAACATTCATTATAATATTGTATATTTTTTACAATATATTATACACACCCTTGTCCAAAACTGATATCCCCTTCCATTCTTAATATCAGTTGATGAAACATTGGCAATTGAATCAGTAAATAATGTATCTATTAAAGGTTCTTCGAAGGGGGTTAACATTATTACAATATTTGAAGTATGTAAAAAAGTTAAATTGGATGCTGTTTTTGACAAAGACGCGCGATTAAATCGAATACGGCGACATTTCTAATAGTCAAATTTAATTTAATATTTTAATAATAAAAATTTGTAATAATAATAAAAAATAAATTGCATCCCCTACTTTGTCAAATAAATTTGGATAATATCCTTCATTTATAAATCGACAAAACCTGGGAGGAACAAACATTTCAGCTGTTGATCTATTATCTAAATATTCGGATAAAATAAATTTATGTATATAATGTATAGGTAAAATATTAGGTATATTTGCAATAATATTGTGAATATCGTGATAAATATTCGTATGAATAGGATATGAATTGATTTTTCTAAATTGATATGTTTAATATTTCTGACAATTAATTCATAATCCCGAATCTTTGTGTTAAGTCGAGGAGACACGGTACCAAGGGGAGAGAAACCTGAACATTTACATTTTATGCATAATTCTTTTAAATAAATAATGTATTTTTTTTTTGCATTAAACAATTGAATCCTTAATTAACTTACTTTTAGGTACACCCTTTCGGTAGGATACACTCGCTTCTTGCCACTTAGGAAAAAAAGAATGAATTAGAGCTGGAATTCGAATTAATTAAAATTAAATTTTAATTGATTAAAAAAATACCCCAGAGAGCAACTGATTTAGGAGAACGGGTTCGGTTAGCCCATATGGTGTATGTATAAGCATCTCTGCAACTCTAGCACATACCCAACCCCTTTTTATTAAAGCAAATCTTATTAGATTATGTAAATTACAAATGCGAAATATAAGTAATAACTAACCAAGATAAAGGTTCTGCTTCAGGATCTATGGTTTGAAGGTCCAAATCTTCATTTTGCCTATATACTTCATTCTCTTTATTTTCTTCGTTTCTTTTAACGCGTTTTCTTTGACAGATTGTAAAAATATGTGAACTGAGAGTATCACGATAACGTTGAACCAAATTCTCAAATTCCATGAGGTTAAAGTTGACAATTACGATTATTACGGTATTGAGTTGGAACTTTATATTTTAAAGATGGCATCGTCCAATCACAATTTTATGAACACGATACGCGTCTACGTACGTACGTACGACGTACAAAGTTTACGCGATTCATCAATTAATAATCCTTATTTAGTAAGATCTACTTAAAATTACTTGCCGTCATACTAATCATACTAATATATCGATACGATGTACTGTAACTGTAACAGTGAATACAGTAAGTAATACATACGGTATCTAATTTTACTCGTTAATAATGAAATAAAATTTTTTGAAGTATTTATTGAAATAACATTATATAAAGGAAGTTACCGATAATATAATAATAAAGTAGAAGTGCCATTACACTTTACGTATATAATATGAAGGGATCTACTATCCCACTAGTTACAAGGCTTAGAAGTAATAGGAAAAATCAAAAATTATAACAACTACACTTATAAATATATAATTAATAAAAAGAAAAAAAAAATCTAAACTACCAGCGTTAATATAAAACTAACTCTTTTATAAATGAACATTGGAGAGTGTGGATAAAGCAATATAATATTTTTTTTTTCATTTTGTTTAACGAGATAAAAAAAAAACAACCAACCGATAGTTTGTAATTATCACAAGCCCACACTTAATAAATATCCAAATAAGGAAAAAGGTGAAAACATAAATCAAAAATAATCAATTCTATTAGAACAAGAGATGCTTAATTATTAAGTTTCTGGATTTCATTTATTTGTTATTAAACGAGAATCCTTTTTTCTTTGCCTTTTCGGGGGTAATTGGTCTACCCGACTCCAATCGTCTCTTTTTTTCTTCTAATTCTAGACGTTGTTTCTCCAGGGCATCCTTCATCTCCTTGTGACGGGCATATAGTTCTTCTTCGGATTGTTTCAATTTAGCCTCTTTCTCCTGGACTTTTTGTTGGAATACCATTTTCATTTCTGCTTCCATCTTTTGTAGCTTAGCCTCATGAAGTTGTCGTTCTTCTTCCATCTTGGCGAGTGGATTTACTTCCTTGAAAACGGTTTGATCTTGTTGCACACCCATAGTAACAAGTTTTTCGGATCGATAATTTTCATAGAGTACGTCATTAGTATATTCTTTAAGTTCTTCCATATGAGTTCTAAAAAAATAATAATAATAATAAAATAAATAAATAAAATTTCAACTTAAATTACTGGTAAATTATAGTAATAAAAAACTAACCGAATGAGCATTTGTCGAAGTTTTACAAAGTCATTATGCTCTTCGTTGTCGACTTCAATGACACCCCATGGGTATTTACGTCCACGCACGCGACGGCCATCGGAAAGTTCGACTTCTTTGTCACTACCGACAATAGCAAATGGAATCTTGCTCTATTATAATTCAAATATAGAAAGAAGAATAATGTAACAAATTCGTGCATTATAATAAAAAAAAATTTATATTGAATTATATATAATTATATCGAATGATATCGAATTATATCTAATTATATATAATCACATTGAATTATATAATTATATCAAACGCACTATTATTTCACGGTTTTCGGCTACAGTTTCATGATCATCATATTCATATTGTGGTGCTTGATAAATTTGAATCTTATGATAAGCAATATCGTCTAGAATACGTTGTTTAAATTGTTTAATTTCATCTTCAGTCAACGTGTCAGACTTTGCAATAACTGGAATAAGATTGACTTTGGTATGCAGCCGTCGCATGAATTCGACATCCAAAGGTTTGAGCCTATAGAAAAATTATTATCGACAAAGAATATAAAGAAAAGAAATTCATTTATACTATTTATTCAATAATCTTATGGTTGATACTTACGAATGACCGGTAGGTGCAATGAAGTAAATACAAGCATGAACGCGATTATCAACCATCTTACGACGATTTACACGGTTTTCTTGTTCAAGGTATGCATCGAAACGAGCCTCAATATTTTCAAGAATTGGTTTCCAACTAATAATAATAAGTACAGATATTATGAGAATTGAATAATAGTTTATACAAACGTTATAATATTACATTTACCTTTCCTCATTGTTAACAAAATCACCAAATCCAGGAGTATCAACGACTGTGAGTCTTAATTTAACACCATTTTCTTCAATGTCTATAGAATAAAATTATTATCATAAAATTATTATCGTAAGAAAAAAAAAATCTAATTATCTTAATATAATGAAATTTAAACATAGAAAAGTTACCTGCACTTAGAGATTGGATTTCTACAGTCTTTGGTGTTTCATCTGATGGTTCCGCTTCACCTTTATTAGGGTAGAGCGTAGTGCCGAACAAAGTATTGACGAGGGTTGATTTTCCTAGACCGGATTCACCTAAGGAAAGCGTTTACTAATATCAGATAAAAATTTGATATGATGAAAAAAGATATTTACTATAATGACTAACCAACTATCATCACCGTGAAATGGAATCCTTTTTTCACGGATTTTCTATGAACTTGGTTTGGAAGGTTGGCAAATCCTACATATCCTTGAAGTTTTTTTCTAACAACAGCACTAATGGCCGCCTAAACAATGGAAGGTCAAATAAAGTCACGTTAAAAATTATCGAAAATTATCGAAAGAACTTTTAATAACAAATTTCAAAATTTTTTCAATGCGGTTTTCAGTTTTTACTACAGCACACAAAATATGATAAAATCAACACATACTTTTAGACCTGTGTTCGGGGCACTAGCGGAATTATCTGTTCGTAATGATAACGTAAGCAAGTTGCAAAATTAATTAACCTTGAATAAAACGCAATAACTTGAGACTAGGTATTAAAATATTGTATGAAGCCAAAAGAGAAGCGACAGATAACTAAATCTAATATATTTTTTCTAAATTATCAAAGTTTTGAAAGTTCCAAGTTCATAAATAGGAAAGTAGACAAAAAATTGTTTTTTAAACAGAGATGAACACAGATGACAAACTAGACTTTTTAAAGAAGGTTTACATAATAGTTTGATAAAGTCATAACAAGAACACGAAATAAAAAAGGTTCTTTTTCAAGGGTTTACATATTAAAGGTTTAGAATCTAAATTGTATTTGCATCGAAGAGACAAAAATTACGTACCAGACATTATTTTGTGAAGACTATGTTAATGGGTGGTTAGGAATTAATACGGAAAGGAGAATAAGGAAGCGTGGAAATATTAGATTAACTTTATTCTTAATCTATTGAAGGAGTGTATGGAGTTGGCGAAAAGACACACAACAACAATGGAAACAGGACAGGTAGTTTTTCTGCAAAGGGGCTAAAAAGGTTTGAAATTTTTTTTTGAGGGTGAGTTTGGAGGCAAGAATTTGGTTAAACATGGTTTGGGTTGGCCAGAATATCGAAGTTACAGATTGCACAAACAGGCCACAAAAAGCAAACATGTGTTCCAATATCATATTAATAGCACCTTTGGGAATTAAAAGAAACCAATCAATTTAACCAGTTTATTTAGTGTTTGCTTAGATTCCTAGTGATCAAACTGTATGGGTTACAGGCTGTCGTCGAAAAAATTGTAATAGTATAATGCATACAGTAATGTTTGCGTACGACACACTTATTATAAACTTTAATATAAAAATATTTTACGTATGTCTTAACTGCTTTATCGTAGGTCGCACCAATAGTCTTTTTCCATAGAGCTGCAGTGCATCCCCTTGAATATATTAAAAAGTTGTAATACTATTTCGACATATTTTTGTATATATTATTATATGAATTCAATCATGGATTAATAAGTATTTTAATATAAAAAATTTCATCTCGTCTTATTAACAAAATTTAATATAAAAGGTTTAATTCATGTATATTATTATAGAATAATTTTATATTTTTCTTCTCTTGGTACTCTATTGATAACTGCCCTTCCGTCATAAGACAATGAGCAAAAAACCCATGGATCACAAGCACTCCAAGCAACTGCATAAACACTGTCTTCATGTTGATCGTAGGATCTTACTAGACCATCAGTTGGTTTTCTATTATTGATGATTGCATGATCATTGGTTAAAATGTTATTATATAAGTTAATATACTAATAAAGATAATAAAGACAATAAAGACAATAACAACTATAAGTATTATATACCCTAGTCTATCTTGATATTCATATTCTGATTCATCATCATTTTCGCGTTCATCATATTGAAACGCGCCAGAAGAGATGGAGACAATACTGTGAAGGTTTACTTGACAATCAGAGCTTGAACTTAAAAAAAGCTGATCATGAAACCGATTATAAGCTATAGCCCACACCCTGATAAAAAAAAAAAAAATAGGTTATACCATTTTTGAAACGTGAAATATGACATATAAATATAATTAATATTCAACCATTACCAATGCGTATGGTCAGAAATTTGTTTAATACACTGGGTAGTATTTCTAAGATCCCAGAATCTGATCTTACAATCGTCACCAGCTGATGCAATTTGATATGGCTTATTCGGATTGTAATCTAACGCACGAACAAGTATAGAGTGTGCTCCGTTGATGTCAAACGTTTGACTTGAAAAATGCAATGATGGTTATTATACTTGGTTATTGGGACTTGTTATTGAGCTCGGGCTACCTATGCGATGAACCACATTTTTACCCACCTTTGTGATCGAAGGTCCAAACCTTGCACAGAACATTCCTTCCCTATAGCAACTTCTGGCTGATTTGGATTCCATACCCCAGTTGTTAATGGAGGTAGAGACTCATTCGTTGAAGAGAAATCAACTGTATGAGAGGTCTATGTGTTTATAATCGTACATGTTGAGATTAAATAATTCTTTTAAAAAAAAATAAATAAATAAACCTTCTTTTTAATACCTCTGCTGACGTCATCTGTTCGTCAAATGCCCAAATACGTAATGAGGAATCATGAATAGATACGAATTTTGTCAGATCTTTCTTGGGATCCCACAGGACTCTATAAGATGCGCGATAAATTTTATAACATAATTTGGAGAGTCCCGTAAGCTGACACAATTTACTTACTTTTTAATAGTATCATCCTCTTTAATTTCAAAAATATTTTCCAATGGCAGATGCGATGCACTTCTGGGAGGACGAGATCCTTTTTCAAAATCTTCTGAAATCGTATCTGAATTGTTCATTCGCCATAATTTAGCCCTCATATGGGACGACATCGAATCAACTTTTATGAAAACAAAGAATAAAATATCAGCAACATATCATTAATGACCGACAAAATAATTCCAAGACCTTTATGAACTAACATGTTTTATAACACGTGAAAAAAAGATCGCTTTTTGCAGGACATGCTGCAATATCCCATACTTCTTCCAAATGCTGATAAACGGTGCTGGTTATTTCGAACTCGTCTTCGTGAAAGTTAATTAGGTGAATCTAACTGTCAAAATGAAAAAATTTAGCTCTTTACTGTACAGACTTAAAATATATAATCTCGTGAAAATAAAAGAACCTCATTATCCCGTTTAAGAGTTTGAGATCCCACTAGAAATTTATTCTGTTCTGTTTCAGCAGTAACTGCTGTAAGGCACCTTGTCTATTCGTAACGGAAATGGTTCACACATTAATATATGTGCGTTTGTAAAATTATCAGATCCGAGAAGTCAAAAGAGAAAAATACTTGGTGCCTCAGTCCATAAACGCAAGATCTCCCTTCATTGTCCATCATATAATAAACAAGAAACCTCCGTCGTCATCTGTCAGGTATATCTTAAAAAAAAAAATCAACCAATTAAAAATCATCTGCATTATCTGCATTATCTGTTTCTATTTTCGGAATACTGAATATAAAAAAAAAATCAGTTCACGAAAATTCTAGCTAATATAAAAAAAAATGTATGTTCATAGATGTCGGTTCGTTGAATATACACCTGCAGCGATCAATGCACTGGCTTTTACGCCATTATCAACTCAGCCTCTCCTTGCATGTGGTCGAGCTAATGGTGAGATTGAAATATGGAATCCTACTCAACGTTGGAATTTAGAAAAGGTATTTTTAAAAAAAATTAAAATTACTTCTATATAATTCTCACGCGTCTTTTTAGCTTATCCTAACAAACAAACTTTTTTAATTTTCGAAGATAATTCCTGGCGCAAAAAACACGTCTGTCGAAGCTTTAACTTGGGTGCATCGGACCGTCTCAAAAGAATCAGAATCAGATAGCAATCACTCTCAAACTATGGAAAAACAAGAAGAATATTTAAACAAACCTCCTAGACTATTTTCTGCTAGCTCAAATGGATTAATCACAGAATGGGATACAACATTATTGAAAAGCAAGGTCATTATCATTATCATTATTATTTTCATTATTATTATCATTATTATTATTATTATCTCTTGTTGAATTCGCGTTTAAACCATTACATCAAAAATAATCATGGTAAAATCAACTAATAACGATAATAACAATAGAATTCCACCAATTCGCATGGAGGAGCTGTCTGGTGTATGTCGACAAATAACGCAAATACATTACTTGCTATCGGTTGTGATGATGGAGGGCTGCGTATTTTTGGTATTAATGATGATGGGCTAGTTCTAATTAAAACTCTTATGAGAAATGATGCCAAAGTTATGGCATTGGCTTGGAACAATGATGACAAATTTATCGTTTCTGGCTCATCTGATTGTAATATCGTTAAATGGAATGTTCATGACGGTAAGAGTGCTATGAAATAATCCATACTTTTATCTAAGCTTACGTTTTTTTACTTAACACCTGAAACAAAGCACGAGTAATTCAAAGGATGACTGTAGATACTAAAAATGGAATGGATAATATAGTTTGGGCGATAAAGATCCTTAAGTGAGTAATGAATATTTATTATATACAATTTATTTTTATTATTTTTACTTATATATATTCTTTTTGCCTTGCATTCCTGAATCAATATAATCCCAGAGATGGCACAATCGTTAGCGGCGATTCGTTAGGCAATGTCTGTTTTTGGGATAGTAAACATGGCACCATGTTACAAAAATTTAAAGCACATGATGCAGATGTGCTATGCTTGGTGTCAAATAAAGTAATACATTTATTATTATTTCATTATTATTTCATGTAAAGAATTTTTTTGTTACAGATATAGCCTAATTGATGCGATTAATGGTTTATTCCTGTTTTTTTCATCTTCAATAGGAAGGTACTATGGTCTTTTCATCCGGAGTTGATCGTAAATGTAATTTATTTCGTATGACCGATAATTTCGCCGCTCAATCGTCTAATGATACTGATTCCAATGAAGATAATTGGGTTTTGGTGGGGTTTCGAAGAACACATTTACATGATGTGAAAGCAATTGCTTTAAGGGAGGATTTAAGTGATAAATTTTTTGTTTCTGGGGGTTAATATTTAAACTTGTAATTTATTTAATATAATTGATTCATTTTTTAATATTCATCTTATTGAATTAATCTAATTAATAATTTTTATCTAGGTGTGGATACTTCAATTTTGGTTTCACATTTTGATGGTTTTCCCGAGGACAAACTCCAACGATTACCTTTTATTCCTCAAAAACCTTTGATCAGTATTTCAAAATCAAAAAAGCTTTTGATGTATCGAAGTACTAATCAGATCAAGATGTGGAGATTGGGTAGTGGTATGTATATAATGAACTGAAAGCATTTCAATGCTATACTATTTTGATCGATTTTATTTAAATGTTTCAAATAATGCATTAGCCAAATTGCAGGACTCTTGGCAACTTGAACAGATTCCAAACCTGGATTTAATTGAACCACAGAAAGCAATTTTGGAAATGACCTTGAAGGTAAGAAATAAATACGGCAGTATGTGGAACATAAACCAACAACGCAAAAACTACATTCGTTTTTTTTTTTTTTTAATTCGCAGGGTAATAATCATCTCATGGCAAGTGCATTATCAGAAGATGGCGAATGGATTGCAGTTTCTGATGTAGAAACAATAAAAGTGTTTAAAACCCAAAATGATGTATGTTATCGTCATATTTTTTATCAAGTTCAAATTTGTATATATCTAATAAACTGAACTTTTAGCCCGAAAATCCGGACCGTGTCAGTGTTAAAAAAGTCCAATTTCCAAAAATATATATGAATGGGTGTTCCGCAGGAGCACATCACCTTTTATTCACTATAGACGGGAAAAAGCTTGTGATAGTTCATAATGACTTTTCAATAACAATTGCTGAACTCGACAATTCACATTATAAAGAAATTAAAATACTTAAACAATTTTATGAACATGCTCAACCACTTGATGGAAATACAACGGTCGTCAATTCTATAGCTGTGAGCGGTGATAGTCGATGGCTTGCAGTAGGTGATCTTTTGAACAGAATTAATGTGTATAATTTAAAAACCCTTGAGGTAAATTCTGCTTACAAAATAATTGCTGTAATCAATTTAATAATATTAAATACTTACAACACACATTTTTTTTAAAACTTAAAACGTAAAACATCATTCAGCTTCATTCAACACTTCCCGAATTCACTTCAACTCACACGGCATTGGCTTTTTATCCAACAAAATCTACTCTTGTGATCACTTTATCTTCCAATGAATTTTTCCTTTATGATATTGAATCACAAAAGCTCGATGATTGGTCACTAACGTATTCCAAAAGTCTACCAAAAACATTTCTCAATTTAGAGAATAGGCTTGTTGGTTGCGCGTTTAATCCTGCAAATAATGATACAATTATACTTTGGGGAGCTAATTATTTTTGCCTTATTGATTTTGATAAATGTCGTAAAGATAAGGGGCACCAACCACATTTGGTTACGTGTACAGGATTACGGGAAAAATCAAAAAATAAAGCAATTGAACGGACACCAAAACAGAATGGTCTAACGAAAAAAAGAAAAAGGGACAAAGCTGAAAAAAATATAAAAAGGGCCAGAGCTGAAAAAATGAATAATTTCCAACTCGTTTATAGATATCGCTCATTAATGTATATCGATTTTATTGAACCCAATACTATGATAGTGGTAGAAAGGCCATATGCTGCTATTTTGGAAAATTTACCACCCTCATTTTACAAAGCTCAATATGGTTCTTGATTAATAAAACTCTTATTATTTTATTAGTGTATTTAAGGAGGACGACTTAAAAGGTTTGCTAGCAAACAGGTTGAACTTCATATCTGATATGTATTACCAATGGTTAATAACAATCAATAATATTGAGTTGTGGATCACGATTACGTATTATATACTTTTATAGATTAACTGTTATATTTATTTATTATACGTACATGCTTACCGAGAATACAGTCTATATGCTATGAATTGAATTATTTATGCAGTATACATCAATATCTGATATGTGTAAATGTGTAACATTAATATTATTGGTCAGCATCACTCCATTGCAGTTTTACAATTTTGGTGAATTTTTTTCGGCTCTTGCCTATACAAAGTATAATTTCGGTAAGGATTTAAACTGTAGCCGAGACACTTCCCATATAAATAATAAAGAATAAAAGAACAAAAGAATGCTAACTTTATCAGTTGTCAAATCTCATCATTAAACTTTAAACTGGAATGTTTTTAACTACTCACATCATATTGTCTTATACTATAAATATTTTTTTATTTAGTTGTGAATCACGTGATGTTACATAAAGTCCTATTTTAACATTGTGGAGATTGTATTTGTTTGCATTTTGTTTTGCATTTATCGCATTTGCCCAACTTTAATAAATTTGGGAAATAAATTAATGTATGACTTGTACTTTACTCGTTTTTTATAATACATTTTTAGTACTAATAATATTATTGATAGAAATATTTTTTTGTGCTTAATCATCATTTTCAACGTACAGTATATATATTTATTTGTATGTATTCGTTACAATGCTGTTACTTAACTGCAGGCATACCATCAGAAAGCAGCTTTTCATCAACTTGCCTCTCTTTCCTGTTAGACAAGAGAGCTAGTTTAGATATTTCTCCTCGATACAACAGCACTTGATGTGCGTTAAAATAGTTGAACCCCCAAAAAATAAATAATAATTAAAAAAAAAAAAATTTAAAAATAAAAAAAAAAATAAAAATAAAAATAAAAATAAAAATAGATTTAATTTTCACATTGATAACCTTCTCACCCCTCCCTTATTTGCTGCCCCGAAAAACTTTGTAGCCCTCGTCTTACCGTAATTTTTACCAACTCGGTAAAATTGAAACTTTTATGTCTTTCTCCGTTAATCATACACCGAAGTCTTCTCAAGGGAGTGAAGGGGACATTTTCTTTGAAGCAACTCCAGAAGTTGGCGTCGTAAATGGTAATATGAATCAAAAAAACCAGCCTGAAGACTCTAATGCAGACCAATTTAATGTAAACAAAAATGAATTCAGAAAGAGAGAAAGATTACATGATCATTCAATGTCTATCGATTCTGTAATTTCTCCAATGCAATCGGTTTATATGACACCGCAAGACTCTACCTGTAATTTATTGATAAATGCGATAAAACAGGCTGCACTGACTAATCATTACGACCCAAAATTACGGTCAGATTACATAGCAACTTCTCCTACCACAACTCCATTTTTTACGACACCGTCAACTCCCTTCGGCCCTGGTAGGCAAACCATGGATTTTAGTAATGTTCATGATTTTAATTTTGCATCAAATACTTCAAAACCACCTATAAATGTTGCCGTAGCAGAGAAAATAAAAGAATTTGAATCACGAATAAAACAAACTACCTCACAATCAAATTTAAAACCAATAATAGAAACTTCGGAATCTCCAAAGTATAGTTCTACTCCAAAATCTAATCAATCTTCTGGATCTCCGAGGTATCATCATACTGTTGAACCTTCTTCAGGAACAAATACTTTTGTAGCAGATTCTTATGATCACATTGAAATTGAAAAAGACACTATAACATCTCCAGTAACACCTTCAGGTGGTTCACCAATAGAACAAATAAATGTGAATAATCATTTTTCAGGAAAATCTACGGTTGAAAAATGGTTTACATCATCAGAGATTACTGAAGATAATCGCATAAGTAAAGACCATCGTATAAATTTAACTTTAAATACAAATACCCATAGTAAACGGAATTTATCAAGGGATGTAATTATGGAAGAAACAACAGATACTGTAAAAGAAATAAATAAAGAAGAGAATTATAGAAGAATATCAAAAGTTTCTTATGTGACAAGAGGTGATACAACTTCTAAAAGTGATAGCACTACTGAAGTTGGCGGGACAGAGTCTCCGATATCTTTAAAAAGAGTTTCTGAAAAAGATGTCCTCTCTCCTACTTCATCGAAAACATCATCAAAAAGAATCTCTAAAGAATCAACCATACTATACCTTAATAACCGTGACAAATTTCTATTATTAACCGGGTATGTTATTCATTCATAATACTTATATTTCATTATATAAAGATTATTTTAGTTTACTTAAATTCAAAAATATGATTTAGGTTATCACTGGCTTTCTTTTTAGTAATATTTGACATAACCACAATAGCGAATCAAATTCCTAAAATCATCACCGACTTCAAAGCAGGTGAAGATATTTCATGGATAATTACTTCTTACAACGTAGCAGGTGTAAGTATTAGTAAGATTAACGATAATATTTAATAAAAATTATCCATAAAATGTATTAATTATTTTAATTATTATAATTATTATAAAGGCGGTACTACAACCTTTATGCGAGAAATATTCAAATATTTTTGGAAGAAAGTTAGTATCACTCGTGGCAATATTCATTTTTGGATCCGGTTCAATATTATGTGGTGCTGCGCAAAATATTCAATGGTTAATTTGCGCAAGAGCTCTAATGGGATTGGGTGGTGGAATTATCATACCAACTGTATTTACCATTATATCGGATGTCGTTCCTACTCTTCAACGTAATCCTTTCAATAATTCTGTCAACTTTGCTTTCGCATTTGGATTGGTTTTAGGTCCAATTGTTGGTGGTTTATTCGCTGACTATTTATCTTGGAGGTGGTCATTTTATATGAATGGTGTATTATCAATTATACCCATTATATCATTATGGTTTGTTTCAATACTTTATGCTCCAACTGATCCGGTGTTCACAAAGTTAAAACTTGTAGATTGGCTAGGAATTGTCCTGCTGGCGTCAGGATTTTTATTTGCTCTTTTACCGATAAATTATGGTGGTGTTCATTTAGATTGGTTTAGCATCCCTATAATCATAATGCTTTCGATAGGGTTGCTTCTACTGTTGGCCTTTATCATCTTCGAGATAAAATATGCTGAAGATCCTCTCTTTTCTAAACACCTATTTATTGATTCTTGTCATCGTGCCGTATTTGGTACGTTCTTTTTCGTGGGATGGATTCAAGCTGTCGTTATCTATTACTCTCCTGTATACCTTCAATATGTGCATGGTATGACTGCAACATCATCTGCTATAGCACTCTTACCATTAGTGACAAGTATTGTAGTATTTTTAGGAATTAGCATAAATTTTAAAAACTACTATCGATGGGTTATATTCTGTGGACTATTTATTACAATAGCAGGAAGTGCTTTGTTATCAACCTTCAATTCGTATACGGGATATGTATTTAGAGTTATATCTCTTGTAGTGATTGGGATTGGAATTGGATCACTTTCAAGAATCTTATTTATACCCGCAGCAAAAGCGGTGAAAAGTCGTGAAAAAAATACCATAAACGAACTATGTAATTTTTTCAGAGCAAGTGGATGGGTCTTTGGCGTATCAATTTCTGGAGCAATGTTTAATAACAAAATATTATCTGACTTTTCAAATATTTCAAATTTTCCGATAAAATCATCATTAAACGATGCCCTTTTTCTGACAAACATTGGAAAACTTTCATCTAATGATCAAAATCTTATATTAACTTCGATCGCTGATGCGATCGCCACTAATTTCAGAATTTGTATTTTCATGGCTATCCTCGGGTTGGTATTTTCCTCGTTCATAAAACAATATAAAATGAATGGGATTACCCGAAATGAACCAGCTGAATCAGGTGCTAATAATGTTGAAATACTAAATGAAAAGGTATGAATACACAAAAAAAAAAAAAAAAAAAAAAAATCATAGAAAACTATTTTTCTGTGATAATATGTAATTAATTTTTTTATTATGAGATTTGTTATTTAATAATTATATCTAATTTTCCAAATATTACTGTATTTTTATCTACTTTTTCCTCATTTGTATTCTTTCGTAAGCAATATTGTTAGCTTTAAATTATAAATAATTCGATCCCGTGAAAACAAAAAAAAAAACAACTTGTAACAATAGACATTTAATATCCTTAATAAATAAGAAATGAAACCACAAAAAAAAATTATTAATATACATATGAATACTTTGTCCTGCTTTATCGTTTACTACTATATAAAGTATTTCCGTAAAATAATATTCCCATACCCGTAAAAGCGCTCAGGGGAGTTAGTTCGCGCTTATACAGTAAACAAGGTTCATTTCCTTCTCATTATTCACGCTCAATACTCGGGGAGTATAACTATATTGGTTTATTTTTCATATATATATATATTATTTATTTCCTGTAAGGGATCTTACCCTGCCTTACGTTGTTCACATCTATCTTCTTATAATTATCCACGTCATCATTTGTGACCAGGCATCTTACACAGGAGAAATTACAATGAAAGTAGGCATGAACAACAACAGTAAAGCAGGGGGTGTCAGTCTCCGAAATATACTGTAATACCTGTTCTATACAAAGTATCCCCAAGTATTATATGAGTGCGTGAAAGTGAAAACCTGGAAATGATTTACTATGATCGGTTTCCAGGTTTTCACTCTCACGCACTCATATGCATTGGTAACCGGTAATTACCTTAATTTAGAGACATACATCAAATTTATTTTATTATTTGTAAAATTACAAAATCTGTGAATTTGCAAGATTATTATTAATTTTCTAAGAAATTCGATAAATTGTCTTCTGAGGAAACATATTCCCCGTCCGTTTGAATCTCATATAAATCCCATATATTTTCTCCTAAAGGAATATTTTCATTTTTATCTTCGTCTTCATCTTCATCTTCATCGTGGTCCAACTGACTATCAGAACTTTCTAAGAAGTCCGATAAATTATCTTCTGAGGAAACATATTCCCCGTCCGTTTGAATCTCATATAAATCCCATATATTTTCTCCTAAAGGAATATTTTCATTTTTATCTTCGTCTTCATCTTCATCTTCATCGTGGTCCAACTGACTATCAGAACTTTCTAAGAAGTCCGATAAATTATCTTCTGAGGAAACATATTCCCCGTCCGTTTGAATCTCATATAAATCCCATATATTTTCTCCTAAAGGAATATTTTC